GTGTGTGTGTGTGTGTGTGTGTGTGTGTGTGTGTGTGTGTGTGTGTGCTTGTGCATATGTGTGTGTTTAGTATTTTTTTTCTTTGAGGCACAGTTTCATCCAGTACCAGCTGATCTTGAACCAGGTTTTGTGCGTGCTAAGGATGGACCCCAGGGCATGGTACTTGCTGGGCAAGCGTTTGCCAACTGCTTTATTAACAATATATTCCCAACCCTGTGTGTTAACCTATTAACTAGTCACAAGTTTATTCAAATTTCAGTGTCAAGTTTACTGTTTTTTTTTTGGTATGGATATTTGTCCACCTTCTGCGAGCCTGCTCTAATGGTATGGTTCTTTCTACAAAGCAGCCATAGTCTCTGTCTTCCCCTCTTCACTTTGTGCATACACTGGCTCCGTCTTACCTCTTTGTTTATTCTCCTCTCTGCTCCTTCACACATGGACGTTGGTTTTTGGTGTTTGAGACCTTTCTCAGCCAAGAACTGTGCATCATCAACAGCTGTGACTGTCTGGGTTCAATTCTCTCTGTGCACCATTAAATTTTGATATGTTGTAGTTCTGTCTCATTTGTCCAGACTAAAGTCTGCTTGTCCTGTCATTCCTTCCCCAACCCCAGAAGTGAGTTTGACTTTCACATAACAGGGAATGGCCCAGTTTCTTCCCATGATGGCTTTTTTGTCTTATCCTTGGAGTTTAGATTTAGGCTCCGTTACGTTTATTGACTCTTTCATGTTGTAAGTGGATCTACCTGGGGATGTCTCCTGCGTGTGTGAAGCCTGCGTGTTCTGCAGCTGTCCCTTTGGTGCTCTCTAGAGCCTTTCGGGTTCTATAAATGGTGTGCAGTGTTGTCCAAGTCTTGTCTTTCCTGGTTGATACTCTAAGCTCTCTATTTCCTGTTGACAGTTGGGCGTCACGTTCCACTCAGAAGCTAAACGGCGTGTTTCTCCTCCAGGTCAGCCAGGTGTGCCTGGCAGTTTCGTGCTCAGCATTGAGATGCACCTGTTGATTACTGCAAAGTCTTTCTAACTGACCCATTTGACATTACAAAATGTACTTGGTCTCTGTCAAAGTCTGAAGCCTCTCAGCTACACCTTTCGCTCTTGTCTGCCTTCTCCCATTCTTTCGACATAAACTGTGACTTTCACAGACATCTTAAACTGGCACTATTTTTAAAATCCATTCTTCCAACTGGTGCCGATTGATTGGAACATTTAGTGGTACTACATTTAATACTGTTGTATGCAACCATTATGATAAGGATAGAAGGGGTCACTGGTGCCAAGAACTTCCCTCGCTCTGCAGAGCTTCCAACCCTGGTGTGGGGCAATGAAGACCGCAGGTAAGAAAACTCCAGGGAAAATAAAAGTCACAGCTGCATGAAGACTCCAGATCTTGACAGTTGAGGTCCCCAAGTACAACCAGGTCAGGAAAACAGCAGATGGTAGTGATGCTGAAGGCATTGAAAACCCTGCCTTAGTCTTCCTTTCTGCCTACTGAGCCAATCAGAGGTGAGGGTGTTCACCACCTGACTGGAATTTGCATAGCCTGTAGGCTATGCAAGATCCCATGGGAATAAGAATTTTGCATATTCCCCATGTTCTTTCCTACTTCCTCTTTTAAATTTTTTGGTGGTCTTCTTCTTAGTCTCAACAGGTAGAACCCCAGCCAGCAGACACTTACAACTAGGTTTCCAGTCAATACCTTAGGACAGAGCTGTTAACAAAAAGGAACTGTGAATCAAGTCAACTCAAGTCCAGCTCCACACAAGCACCTCTTCAAGGTGCCCCCAAGTAGGCTCAACAGTGACTCTCCTCTGGAGAGGAGTATGAGGAAACTTCTGGCTCATTCTGCTTTCTCTGCAGCATCACAATACTCACTTTCATAGACCCATGCCGCCTCATCATCGTGGGACAGTCAATTAAATATCAGGCTCATTTCTGTTTATGGTGATTCAGAGCTAATAACAAAGATTAGGACCAGCCGACACTTCCAAAATTCACTGCTTTTTACCAAGATCCAGCCTAAATACTTTTCAGATAATCCTCAACATCCAACCTTCAGTTTCTTGGAAATACTGACTGTGGTAGTTGATCTCCTTTGGAACCAAGGTGACATCAAGCTGATCACCAGAATTTACCTGCCTGTGCTCCTTGAATGAGGATAATGTATGATCAATCACTTCACACTCTTGCCATCATGCCTGTCTCACTCTGATAAATCACATCCTAAAATCATGAGCCAACATGAAACCAGCGTTCCCTGAGTTGTTTTTCATCAGGCATCCCATTACAGCAGAGAAGTGGACAAATTCTGGAAATAAGTATCAGGAGTAGGGTTGTTGCTACATGTCATGTAAATAACCTGACCATGTGGATTGCAGCTGCTTGGTAAGCAGAATGGGGAAGAGTTTAGAACTCCGGGGTACGGAACCCTAAGAATGTTGTAATCAGGGCTCAATAAGAACCAATCTAGTGAGATTTTGGAAGAGCATAATGTCAAAGAAATACACACACTGGAGACCTTGCACAGGAGTCTCTAAAGGGGGACAAAGACTATATTGGAAGATGATAGATAGATAGATAGATGGATGGATAGATAGATGATAGATAGATAGATAGATAGATAGATAGATAGATAGATAGATAGATAGATAGATGAAAGAGAGAGAAGGGGAAACCTTGTGCTTTCTGATACAGACTACATCTCATGCTGACAGCATAACTTGACAGTGTCATCCAGTGTTTTTTGCAAAAGGCAAGAGTAATGGAGTCATAGAGGCCCCCACCAATTCCAGGAAGTCACCAAGGTCATGCAGTGCTTGACAGGACTGGATTCCTTCCAAGGAGTCCTTGAGACATACAAAGCTGTGAAGATGATGTCTAGGTTGCAGTGAAGACCCCACGCTGTTGGAAATGCCAGGACTGAAATGCCTGATGGAGAACACTGCAAGCTCCGCGTGGATCTGGTCAAAACAAAGGGCCACGTGTGCTGCTGGAGAAGCGTGATCCACACACTGATGTTAACATTTTCCCCAGCGTCGTCATTAAAACAGGTGACTTCTTTTCTATGATATGTATATGTGTAAGTACATGCACCTGAGTCCAGAGGCCTGTGCAGTACAGAAGAGGGTATCAGAACCCTTGAGGCCAGAGTTACAGGCAGTTGTGAACCACCTTATGCAGGTGTTGTGGGCTTAACTTGAGTAAGAAGAGCAAAGGCTTTTAACCTCTGAGCCTTTACTTTATCCCCCAGAGTTATCACTTTCATGGGAGAATTAATGCCCAAAGATCCTTCCTCTACTATCCCATAAATGAACCTTTCATTTTTCTTTAATCTGGAAGAGAAATCATGAGAAATATTCTGCTTTCTGTGGAGAAGGCAACAGAATGGGGGTCAGGATAATTGCCATGGGATCCCAAGCAGCTGTTGGTCTGAGGATTTTTTTTTCCCAGAAGGTTGTAAAAATAGGAAAAGGTTTGACACTAGGTAGACTGGAGATGAGACCTGTTCCACCACGTCAGCAGTGCAGTTGTGAGCAAATTGCTGGCGTTTGTGGAACCTAAGATATATAAACACGGGTGCCACATCCAGAGCTCAACACACTGCAGCACTAGGGTGGATATCCAGAAGGGCGGGGAAGTCACAATGTCAGGAATGAGAAGCCTGGAGACCATGTCTCAACCACACACAGGGAACAGAGACAGCAAACTGGAAGTGGGGTGTGGTGGCATTGTGTTCCCTGAAATACTGT